ATATATAAATATATAAACAAATAATCTGAAGTGTAGATGCAATCTCAAAAGCAAAGATAGATATATTCCTGCTCTGAAACACTTATAATGCAAACCTGAGATGACATACAAGTGCAGCTATTAATCGATGAAAAGATGCAAGAAAGACAGGGAATATGTAACTATTTATTTATTCTATCTTTTAATGCCTTGGTATTTCATTGGTTTCATCTTTAAGGGAACATTTAACAGAAAGAAATAGTGAAAGTGGATAGACTTTTTCTTGAACGTATAACTTTTCAGTATATATCCATTATTTACTTTTTCACCTAAGTTAAATAATTTCTTCTATATACCAACCATCTTGACTGCACAAAAAGTGTATCCAGCGTAAAGGATATTAGCAAATAAAACTTATTTGAACCACAGAAACTAAGTACTTCCTGACCTGTTCTCTAAGGATTTATGGAACAGTTTTAACTATAACCCGAAAAATAACAGCCTTGCATCTATTTTTTAAGGAAAATGGTTACCCTCTTGCCTTTGTTTTTTACTCTCCTACACTAAACATAATAGTTTTCTCAAATTTATTATAACTGAGACTGTCCAAGTTGGTTTGGGTTTTTTACTTGTGCTATTTTACTCTGGACTGTAGAAAGGAATAGCCAAGTGGCTCTAGTGCGATGCCACTATGAAAACTACTGTTGCCGTCAATCCCAGAACCACACACTGGCCTTGGACTACTGCCTCATCACTGTACTCGGCAGGAGTAAATTATAACAGTCAGTAAACAGAAACTTACTGCATTTGTACAATGAGTGATGGCGTATTCTTGTTTTTAATATAGTGTGTTAGGAGAGTGAAGCTTTATGAAATTGTTGCCCTGGTTGTTTGGTCCACTTTAACATTTTCCAGTGTTTTTATTAAATGTTCACTAAGAGAATGTGCTCCTGACAATTCAGGGCATTTCAAGCATGACTCACTCTTCAGTATCAAGTTTTGATTATTGTCACAGCTACTTAATTCATCACTGCCCTCGGTGCCTTTGTAATCATCGCTTTCCAGGCCTGAGGGTAGAATCAGACTCTCAGAAGAGGCCCTGGCCTGTAATCCCCTGGTACTAACCAGAATTATCTCAGTAAATTTAACTTAACTTCCTACCATGCAGCTCTATTTTATCCCAAAGCAATGGCAACAGTGCCTGTTTGTAATCAACAGAATTAATTAAAGCCAAGTCTGATTTATTTAGTATTTAAACCACTGAGACAAAGTACAAAACTTACGTATTTAGATGGCTTTACTTGAGGCTCATCTTTCCCTGCATTTGGTTCACTAAGGTACAGACAATAAAAAATAATAAATACACTTCTTGGTCCCTTGTAAGTTGTTACAGTGTACCTCAGTAAGACAGACATTGTATCTCATGGAGATGTTGTACAATATTGAGGGTAAAGAGTTGTAGAAAAGTATCCCTGGGATATTTAGTATGGCTTCATGTCATCACAACTCATTTCTATGTAGAATGCGAACCCTGTGGTTCATTGAGTGGCCTAGACTCAAACTTAGTGAAACATGCTGTTTAAGTTGTTTAATTATCAAAAGAAAAGAGTTGTTGAAATTATCAAAGAAAAAGGGCAGTTTTTTTCGGGGGAAGAGGAGTCTAACTTTCTGCCTCAGGGGGCCAAGATATAGAGAGATGTACGTGTAGGATTGCTATACATGTGCCTGCCAGAATATCTCATGTCTCTTGCAACCACATGAAATTCAAAGAGCTATTAGGGGTACAGCTATATAAACCAAATTAGACAAACGATCTCCTGGGGTTTTTTTCACTGTAGCTGCTTGTCAGGTGTAGCGTGTAGTCTTGCATTGCATGACTGTCAATTAAACGTGCAGTCATCTATCCCTTAGAGAGTCCAATTCTGACACATAGTCCCATTGCCTTCCTGAAACCTGACATTTGCCTACAAGGCATTCAATGCAGAGTTCAGAACCAAATGGTTGAGTTTCCAAACTTTCCACAAAGAACTTTTTATAACCTTGACTGCCTGCTTTCTTAAAAATGAAAGTGGTTTGCTCATCAAGTAAAATCATCAAGTTTACACAGTGTTCCTTTTGAACCGAGTTTGCATTTCCTTGAAAAAAAAAATTGTGAACTGTAAGAAAAGGATCTGTAATCTCAGCATTTCTGTAACTCCTGATTAACCTCAAAAACATTCACCCATGCCTTTGTTAAAAGCACAAAACCTAAAATTGATATTTTTTTTCTTTTATCAGAAGACATTTTAACATAATAACCCACAGAATGTCATCAGATAACCCTTTTTGTTGTCTTGACAAAGAGCTAATTCTAAATTGTGGTAAATGAGGTAAGAAAATACTTTTCACTACCGCTGGGTGGTTCTTGCCCTTTGGAAGAGAAAAATCTGAGCAGTCTTAGATAAGGAAGATTACCTTCTGCTAATATGAGGCCATATGAGTAAAGCTGATACTCTGTATATGCTAAGAATATGTGTGCTTTCTTGAAGGGTAATATTAACACTTTGACTGTTTCCTATATATGCTTCCAAGATTCGAAACCCTCAAATTAACAATGAGAAACAAGATAAATTTGGCAAGAAATTTAAGATACTAAAAATTTCCACGCACTGACCACCAAAATGGCTGAGTCTGTTTGAACTTTGAAAGTGGTAATGAGTCCTAATTCATCATTGGTGCTTAAGCGGAACCTTAGTTCAAACACTGAGGCATTCTGTTTAATTGCCAAAGGCATATGGTAAAGTCTGGCCCAAACTATTTTGCTCCAGTGCAAATGAGTTTAGAAATTCAGGAACAACTGTTGAAAAAATAGTGAAAACAAATGCTTAATAATGAGCAAGAGTATGATGTCACTTCAATTACTGCAATAAAGAGTATGCCTTTCAAGAGAAGCAAATGTCAAGTGATCAGCATGCTGTTTGTTGAATGAAATTATGCTGCTGAGCACTGCAGAAAAGCTTTTTTGTAATCTTGCTAATCCATTTGAAATTTACTTCCTTCATGATAAAGATGAGTTACTGACATGCTGATACAAACAACGTCTCTGTAAGCAGACCTAACCCTGCATTTGCTATTTGTGAAAAATAATCATAATTTCCATTTTCATTTCCAATTTTCTCACTTCTGTTTTAATACTGAAAGGCAAAACAATATTATTGTACAATTCTTTTTATTTTCATAGTTTTGCAAGTAAATTAAACCCAATAAAAATTCCCTGTGAGTAAGAAGTAAATGTTGTTGTCCCCTTTGGATACTTATGAAAGTCATAAGATATGTAGAATGATTTGCTGAAGGTCTTACAATGAGTCAGTGTTATATCCAATATTACAGATTAAGATCATTGCCCGAGCAACTGCAGAGCGTTGTTTCGACCGGGAGATCAATACATGCTGAACTGTGTGCTATTTTTAGTGGAGAGTTCACTCTTCCTTCATTTTCTGCCTCCTTGCTCTGTATACCATCTTCCATGTACTATGCTATTAGACCAATAATACATTCATATATGTCCTTAGAAGCTTTTTTTCTGTTCTAGTACAAGTGGGAAAGAATTACACTGAACAGTTTTCTTGGTTTAATCTGCAAAAAACTTGTCCTTATTATACAGTATATATTGTTTACTAATGGCTTTGAAAGATGTTTTTGTCATGATAAGATTAATCAACCAAGAAAATAATTATTAAAAAATTTTATGTTGCAACATTAAAAAAGAAAAAGAGTTGCTTCTAGAAAACACTTACGTGTAGTATACTAGGAAATTAATGACATCATAGTAAATAATTTAGTCACCAAGGAAGGCAATACTTAAGCATGGATCCCAGTCATTACAGATGTCTATTAATAGGGCGTTTTTCTTTGGTTGTATTTCCTTGTTGATGAAAATAATCTGATTCTTGATTTTCCATTTGCTGAACATTAAGAAGTGACTTTCCACTCTAAGCGTTAGTTTCCTTTTCCCCTGTCTTTCAATTATATATTTTATAAACATCCAGTAATCTTATATAAAGAAAACTCTAAAGGTATTTTCCCCAAAATAAACTATAATATTTCCCTAATAAAACAAAGAATCTTATTTTTGATCAAACTAATTAATTTCAGGACAAAGAAAGAAACCAGAATATCCAATGTGAAATGCAAATATTGAAGTACTCTCAATTTGCCAAGTCTTGGTTTAGAAACCAAAGATCTGTATTAAAAAAATCGAAGGAAAATAATGTTTGTGTTGCAGCTCAACAAACCCAAACACTTGTATCACCAGTATCATGAATTGAGCAGACTAGCAAATAACCAGTGGAATACTGTCATAGTCTGTTTCAGCTTTTTGAGCTTACAAATTTAATACAACTTATTTCCCAATACAGGTTGTCATTATCATAACCCTCTTTTATTCTATAGCATTTTGGCAATTCATGCAAGTTCTTGACATTAGTAGAAGTAGCGATCAGAATAAATGCAATAGGCTCCGTTACACAATGTCTCTGGAAACCATTCCACACAAATAGTTTGCAGGTGCAGCTTGGAGAGGCTTTGAGTCTGCTAAGGTGGAGACAGAGCTGGACAGTCTCTGTTCTACACAGACTATTCTAAAAATTTTGTTCAGTCATTGCTAAAGTTAGCATATTAGTATGCATGCTTCACATTTTCTTGATGACATAAGGAAGATTGATGTCATGATTCTTCAGTTTTCTAGGCAGCAGAATAAAATGCAATGAGTCTGACACTCCATGAGGGAAACGTGCTCCAGCAGATATGAACAGAAGTCCAGAAGTACATCTGCATTGTACATGAACTGGAACATCCTTCACTTAAAATTGTTAACCACTGAACACAGCTGAATCATGATTTCAACAGCTTGAACAGTGTTCAATTTTTGGACTAAGCATTGTCTCTGACTTTTCCAAATGTTAAGAATGTGTATGACCTCACGTTTTCACGAGATGTTCCTTTTAAGTATCCCTCTTCCTCATTTTTCACTGTTCTATTAGATGGATGAATCGTTTGGGTCTCGCAGCAATTGGTTACACCCCTGATGACAAGGAGATGCATCCAGATGAAGGTAATGCTTCAGAGATTATAATTAGAAGACAGAAGAGAGTACACATCTGTGCATTATTTGAACAAAGCTGGAGGTGTCATAAGTGACATCTTTGTTAACATATGTGCCATATCTTTTAAAATATCAATTTTCATAAGAATCCATGTCCTTGAAGAACTATATTTACTTGTGCCACCACCAAAGAAGATAAAATCGTCAGTAATAATTTTAAGAAATACTTAAAACAAGTGATAAAGAGAATGCAACGTTAAGGGTGAGGTATGATCTCCCAGATCAGAGCCATCAGGTCTGCTCATCACCCTAGAGCAAGTGAAGATGTCACAAATACAGGTCAATATGTGCTTTAGAAATGCTTCTGCATCTCCTGAGCTCCAGTGCCAGCCTTGCCTTTTTTACCATCACCCATGGTGAAACCTGTTATTCTAACCGAATTAAATTAAGTATTGAGGCTCAGCTCTACTTCGGCACCTAGAATGAAGTTGCACTTTAAAAGTCTGTGACCAGAAGCTGTTTTTTACGTACAGTGGGAGTTAGGTGCCTAACCTGCTTTCTATAACACTGCCCTGAAACGTTTGAAGGTTATTCCACAGATATGTGTGTCTGGGGTACCAGACATTTTCACAAATCTGTTCCTTAGTGACTGCCAAGACACCTAGGTGACTGTGAAATGTTTACCTTCGCATGCTAATGATATTTTTAAAATGTGGGACCTGCTTTCTTGTGGAAAAGCACAAGTGCAAACCTAGAATGTTTTGTTAGCAGATTACTGGAGTGAAAGTGACCAGGATGACATCGATGGCTCTTTAACCCTGAAGCAGGAAGGCTCTGCAACACTGTGTGACACCTATCATCGAACACCCTCAGTGAGTTATAAATATTGCACTTGACAGGAGGTCACCAAAAAATATATATGTGTGCCTTGATTTGCATTTTCCTTGTTTTGGAATATTCAATTACAGTAAAGGCAGAACAAAGACAGATCTCATTGTAAGAATGAAATTACTTCAGTTCCTCATGAGCTAAGGCCTGAATGTTCCCATAACAAGTCAATTACAAAGGAAGGAGAGGTAAATCCTTACAAAGATGTGGCACCAGACTGCAAATATGACACTTTTTGTAGGATTTGGGAGATCACACCTAATAATACGAACAGAATAGTCAAATGTTGACTTTACTTCAGAATATGAAAAGAATGTGGTGACTGGGATAGTCTGTATTGACTGAAACTTTTTCAAGTATGAATACTGGATGCTGGAGATTAAGGTCAGATCACATTCATGCAGTAATCGTGTTTTAGAACATTTTTTTTAAGAACATATCTTTAGAGGCAAGGGGTTTTTACAAAAATCATTGTCTACAATACCATAGTAGTGACAGTATTTTCTTTTAGTGTCATAAGATGTTAAGTAACTGATAAAAATACTTCTAATATATTGTATACAGATAGATTTTGATAACTGAGGAAGAAAAAAAAAACATTTTGTATATGAAGAGGCTGTAGGAGCAAATAAAAACATTTCTATTATACAGAACATAGACAGGCTGTGATAATTATTCTGTTTCTGAGCGCAGATAGGACTGTTCTCTATTTTTCTTTCAGATTTTTCTTCAGCGTGAATGACATGATCCTCACACAGCCAGAGCCAAAGAAAGAGTGACTGAGACAACAGCATCACATGGGTGAAGTTCAGACTGATTTTCACCCATGTGATGCTGTTTTATCAACTGGGATACAGGTTAAGCCCCTCCCTTTCTGTTTTTCCACTTTTTTTGCCTTTCTCTTTGTTTTTGAACTAAAATTATACACAGACCCAGAAGAATTAATGAAAATAATTTGAGAAGTTCAGCAGTCCCCAAAAATTCTAAAAGCTTCCTGGGTGCTGATGTCTTTTTTTTTTTTTCTGTTTGGCTGGATATTTATCCACTAAAACAAGAAAGGAAATCCAATTATGGTTTCTTTTGCGGACTTCCATGTCTTCACAGCACACTGCTGGACTGAGTATAAACTGGACAGGTCTTCAGGAAACCTGCACCAAGATTATACTGTTCTTTCCAGCAGGAGTTGCTCAGGGGCAGAGAACGTGCAAAATAAGAATAGGGAGTGGTAAAAACTTAATACTTGCATAAAAGATCTCACTGCTAGTTATGTTCTGTTCACTGAGGTTCATATTATGACATATAAAAACCACACACATCAGTCCATTTTATTAGTATACATCATATAATGTTCTACGCTATAGTCATTTTCTTGGGTCTGTTCAAAACTTTGTCTTATAGTCAGATGCTTTTGTATCTTTTCAGGTGAATTCTTCAAGTCCATTCCCTGAAGCCAAACACGGTCGACACTTTTCAAGTGAATCAACATATTCTCATTCTTCTGCTGAGGATTCTCGACAAGATGTAGCAGGAAGCACACACTCATCAGGATGCAGACCTCCCTACCGAGAAAGGCGCTCGTGGCAGGATCTGATAGAGACTCCGTTAACCAGTTCAGGGCTCCATTTTCTTCAGACTGTTCCTCCAGATACAGAGTACATGAGTGGCCGGTCTGGAATGTCACCGGATAAACGAAGACAAGCAACGCTACCAGTACAAAGACGTCATAATTATGAGCAGGATGGGCCTTTCCCTTTGGTGGAATGTCAAAGGGGACATAGCTCTTATAGCAGGCCACAGAAGCAACGTAGTCAAAGCCTTCCCCGAAACAGAGATGTCAGGGGTAAGGGATGTGTACAGTCCATAGAAGGAACAGATGACAAGCTAGAAGAGAAAGTTCCCATTAGAAGGCATAATAGTTTCTGTGTAGAAGGTAAGCTTTTGGAGATGTTCTGGTCCTCTTTACTGCCACTGAAAGCCAGAGAAATATTGCCATTATTCTCAGCAAGGTTTTTGTGGTTGAACTGTTATGTGTTGGCAAATTCATCAGTCACTACATAGGAGTTTGCACTTAAAATGCTTGGATGTAGTGCAAAGAAGATAGCTTTGGGACTGATCAAAATGTTCTCGTTTTATCAAAACAAAAATTGGAAGACTGTGTTATAGGGTTATTTTATACATAAATTTGCAGTATTGCTTGCTGATTTTAGAGACTTCATCTGAATGGTCAAAATTGTTGTTAGGCTTCTTTATCTATTTTCTTTCAGAAAACGTAAAAGAAATCGGAGAAAATACAGATGGTCTGCAAGAGCTATACAAATCTCTGGAACAAGCTAGTTTGTCAGCCTTTGGAGAGCAGCGTCCTTCCACCAAGCAGGAGTTCCGCAGGTCTTTTGTGAAGCGATGTAATGATCCAGTTATCAATGAAAAGCTTCACCACATCAGAGTTCTCAAGAGCACTTTAAAAGTAAGGCTTTATCATTAATTTTGTGCATAAGCCATATAAACTAGTAAAAGTATAATCTCTTAATGTTTTCCATGGATGAGGCTTTCTTTGAGCTTTAGAACTAAGTTCCAAAGAACTAAAAATACTTGAAAGCAAACATGTTCCAGATTAAGGAAAAAAAATATATTATTTGGTATTCTTTATAGGCAAGTTGTAGAAAGTGCCAAGGACTGGGTTGTCAAACAGTTTAAGCTGTAATAGTTCCCGAATATAGGTAAAAGATTCAATTGTCCATAGCAGTTTCTCTAGCACTTTGCATTAAAATGAAAGAAGAAATAAAGTGCCGAAATACAAAATATGGCATACGTTTCACCTTGACATGTACTGTGTCTTTCTGGCATTTGTTAGGCAAAGGAAGGGGACCTCACAGTTATCAACAGCCTTCTGGATGATCCCAACTTAACATCAAAGAAGTTTAAGGATTGGAAACTAAAGAACTATGAGTTTTTCCTGGACATTTGTGAGTACAGTGCTGCTGTGAAATCTCAAAATGGAGCCTCTGAACTTGCAACCTCAGCACCAATGCTGACGCATACACACTCGTTCATTGAAACTCATGTGTGACAGGACTCATATCCTGAATAATTGCTGGGTGCCATGAAAAATCGAATAAGACAAATACTGTAATATTTATTGATAATGTACTCAGCAGTACTGTAAATAAGTTGGATAAGAGAATAGTACCACAGGATGCCTACTACATTGCATGATAAGACAATAATATTCTTTATGAATTTTTTTTGTTTGCTGTTATCAACCGATATCCGTATCAAGTTCTGCATTAGAAAGAAGCAGTGCAGAAGTGTAACTGAAAACAAATGCCAGTATATTTAAAGTACTGTACCAAAACTGAGCTTATAGTATGAGCTCCTACAATCATTTTATGTATTTAGATATATGTAAAGACATATCTATGTATATAAAATGTAACAAGGTAGTTGACATTTACTTTTAATATGCCCTAAAGTTCACATTTTTTCTTGAGAAAAATAGAAAACGAAAACATAAATACATTGGCCACTCTTAGAGATGAACTTTTGTTTTTGCAACATTTCCAGGTAGTGACCATCTTTGCAAATAAAAGGACAGATTTATCAAAATGTAAACTCAATCCCTATAGTGTGCCTTAAAATGTACACTGTACATCTAGCAAATAGATCCCAATCTGGCCCTATGGGCATACTGTACATGCCATTTAGATACTGTGTTTGTAACATACTGTGCCTGCCTTTAAAATGAATGAACATAAGCAAGCAGGTATGGCACAGGGGTTAAGATATGAGTAGAACAATGTTGGTTGTTCACTAATGCTGCAACTTAAACTGATTTTAATACAAATTGAAGTATTTCATGGTGAAAGAAAAACATCTGCGCTGAATATGGTACATACTGCAGGTTTTCATATTTTCTTCACTGTGAATTTAAGTGACATGACTGTGAGTCACAAAATTCAAAAAAGCTCTAATGCTTCAAGGATGAGAATTAAGTTGAAAAAAAATTCTAAACTAATCAATTAAAATCTGTAATAGACTGACATCTAGAGCTGAGTAAATTATTCAAAGTTATATAATGTCTGGCAATAATTTTTAACTGTTAGTAGTACATTAGCAAGTGGGTGAAGTTATTCAATACATCATTTGAAAATCAATCTGTATTGATTGGTTTGGGAAGACACACAAGTCACATAGTGTATTTCACTTCCTTGCCTGGATGGGAATGATTTCTAAGAATCAGATTTTGGAGAAAATACTTGTATTCTTGGAGAGGAAAAAAAAAAAAAAAAGATTGCTCTGAATTGTACTGAATATAAATTTCAAACACCCATTCATAATTTTCTTTGACTATGCTTGCTAGAATATTTCTAGAAAGCAGAACAAAGGGGATGTGAATACAGTTGATGTCATTTCACTTAAACACGGATATTCACTGGTAATTTTTTCACAAGACAAACCTAGTCATCTCTCATACACCAAGAACTGTAAAATTCATACAGTTCCATATAATATAGGAAAAAACGTTATCTCAATGAGGTCCTAGTATCAGGAAAAGATTTATTGATTCACAAAGCCAGAACTGGGTGAAGGTATGCTGTTTGTCTAGCTCAGGCTCTGCAAAACAGCTGTGGTGGGTTGGCCTTGACTGGCTGCCAGATGCCCACCAAGACGCACTCACTCCCCCTCCTCAGCAGGACAGGGGAGAAAATATGGTGGAAAAACTAGTTGCTTGAGATAAAGACAGGGAGATCACCTACCGATGACCACCATGGGCAAAACAAACTTGACTTGGGGAAAATTAATTTAATTTATTGCCAGTTAAAAATACAGTTGCATAGTGAGAAACAAAAGCAAAACTAAAAACACCCTTCCCCACCTCCTCCCTTCTTCCCAGGCTCAAATTCATTCCTTTGTTCCCAGCTTTTCTACCTCCTTCCCCAGTCAGTGGCGCAGGGAGATGGGGAACCGGGGTTGCAGTCAGATCATAATATTTTGTCTCTGCTGCTCCTTCCTCACACTGTTCCCCTGCTCCAGCGTGGGTCCTTTCCATGGGGTACAGTCCTTCAGGAAGAGACTGCTTCAGCGTGGGTCCCCCATGGGCCGTAGTTTCTGCTAGAAAACCTTCTCCTGCATGGTCTTCTCTCTGCAAGCTGCAGGTTCTGCCAGGAGCCTGCTCCTGTGTGGGCTCTCCATGTGCTGCAGTTTCCTGCAGGAATCGCCCTCTGCTGGGGTGTGGGTTCCTCCAGGAGCTGCAGTGTAGGTATCTGCTCAGGCATGGTCCTCCGTGAGCTGCAGGAGGACAACCTGCTTCATCATGGTCTTCTCCACAGGCTGCAGAGGAGTCTCTGCGCCGGCACCTGGAGCGCCTCCTCACCTTCCTTCTTTACTGCCATTGATGTCTACATAGTTGTTTCTCTCATTTTTCTCACTCCTATCTCTCAGAGCTGCTCTGCAGCATTTCTACACTTTCTTCTTACAGAGGTGCCACCAGCCTCCCTGATGATCTTGGCTTTGGCCAGCAGCAGGTCTGTTTTGGAGCCAGCTGGAACCGGCCACATCTGACATGGGAGCAGCCCCTGGTGTTTTTCCAGAGAGGTCACCCCTGAGCCCCCCGCTACCAAAAGCTTGCCATGGAAACCCAGTACAGCAGCTGAAGAAATACAATTCAGATCTGTTTTTTACTCTCATTTGCACTGGCATTTATTTAAACCACAGTAGGTCCAGTAATTAAACAAATAAGAGTCTATAACAATATAAGATGTTATTAGTGGAGAAGTATTGCTGACAGCTGTTTTGAGTTCTTTGCATCGCACAGGCAATTGAGTCACAGCATCATTGCAACAATTGCATAACATTTGGATAGAACATACAACATGACGGCATGCTTGGCCTGCTCCAACAAAGTAATCAACTCTACACTTAAGAGTCACTGAAGACAATGGCTCCTTAAATGCACGCACCAGAGCTTTATCATATTTCCATCGAAGTAAATAGCAAAACTCATGTTGTATGTGTTTTGCTTGAATATTAAATATGCACTTCACCCTCTGTCTAAGCACTTGAGGTAATAAAAAAAGAAACAGGAAACAGAGAACAACCATTTGCCACCACAGGTTTCACCAACATTGGAGTTGCAATAATCATGCGAAACGTAAAAATAAATTGAATTGTGTTTACTGTGTGAACACTGTAGTTACTGGACAATGAATAGCAGAAGCATTAACACAGAGAATTTGCCTAGCTTTTTTTCACATCAGATCTCTAAAAGTTCTGTATTTCACTATTTTTCAATATTATCCTTCATATAATATAGGAGAAATATTATGCAGTGAAGCAAGTAATGGGGTAAATTATAGAAGCCACTTAGAACCCAGTTCATACTGTATGTGCAAGCAGAGGTAGATGGTCACAAAGTCAGTTAAATGGATCAAACTTTCTATATTCATAAAGAAATATAAATACACCTTTAGTTTCAAAAGCAAAGATGGTTTGTGCTTTCATAATAAAAAGATCTGTATGATTTTAAGATAGTTTTCAAAAAGGATTTTAAATGCCACTGTATTGTAACCCAAGACAGAAATGACAACTGTCCACTGAGCATATTCAATGAAGTCCCTAGTAAACAATGAAACAAGCTATTTCTCTTCTCAAATGCTACTTACAGGTACAGCTGAAAAATACAAACATCATTAGGAAGGTATATTTCTCAAAAATAACACAAATAGTAATGAAGATAGACAATCTCAATTTTCATTTCTAAAAGTTTGAAAAAATATATTTCTGAAATATGAGCAGATGAGAGAAAAAGTTGAGAGATCATACTTTTGCTCAGCTTATCTTTAAAATATCTGTGTGCCATGAGTTCATCTTTTCTGAAATTCTCGGAGCCATGTGTCTGTATTCTGCTCTTGGAGAGCAGTTTTCATCAAGTATGATTTGCACTGAATAGTGAAGATAAATTATCCAAGACATTGATAAGGTGAACTGAGATACACTGGAGAAATTTCCTATAATGGGGTGGAGATTAACTGGGAATAAAATTTCAAAGATTTGTCTAGCATTTCTTATGCCTTAGAGCTAGCAAAATCCGATTGTTAAATTAAGCAATACAAAGATCTTATTCTTTCACAAATGTCAGCTGGCATTTGAAAGTCATTTCACAGGAATTTTGTCATACTTTTCGCATGTGTTTTCAACTCTGATCCCATATTTTTAAATGAAAAAAAAAAAACCTTTGCTGTTCAGTTCATCAAGGGAAATAAACAGCACCAGTACAGTACATTTATTAACTTACTAGATTTCCTGCCTGAATGCTTAGATTAAACTTTGTTCTTAACGTACACAACTACACGAAGAGATTATTTGAATGTGTTTTATTTATCCAGATCTTATTAAAGTTAGTGTCTTCATTCAGAATTCCTGCAGATAAAATGTCCCTCAGCCAGCAGACTTTCTCTGTGACTCCACAAGCATAGTCTTTTTGGTACTGGTTATAACTGATTTAATGGTCCCTCTAAGCTAGCGATCCCCCTCCTTTTTTTTATTACGATTCTGTATTCAGTGAAACCTTGGCTCTTTGAAAGCTACCTTAGTAGCTATCTCAACAGCACTTCCTGAGAAAACTGAGACCTTTTTCTTCATTTCATTAATTTAAGCGAAAACTTTCCTGAGCTTACTATAATTAATATGAACAAGAATCAAAGGAGGAGGAGGTTCTCATCCGTCTGTACGTCCCCATTCTTTAATATAAATAATGCAGAAATACTGGGCTCACGCTCTGTGACAGCAGAGGCAGGATTACATTTGCCCTCACAGTAATCCGCCTGCATTGGACTGTTCGGGGCGTCTCTACCCTCCATAACACAGGTGGCTGCCTCACTTCATTGCCAAAAACCACCCTGCTGTCTCATCAGCTTCTGCTACAGTTCTACTTTCTCAAACATGTTATGAGCACTTCTTGAACTGCTTTAGCACCATAAGGAAAGACTGATCAGTTGCTACTAACAGATTTTGGAGGATGAGTTTTTCCATCTTTTCCTAGCAGGGAATTCTGAATATAAGTCAGTTAATATTCAGATCTAGACTGCTGTCTTTTAAGCTAGAAATGTGGTGCACCGCTTGCTTTTTCCAAGGAAAAAGAACTGAGTGTTGCAGAGAATTGCTAGATGTATATGGCCACTTAACTTTATTCTTACCGGCTTCAGCAGTTATGGCTGTCCAGGCCAAAATACTCACCCTCTGCTCCAAGGTTTTGTGAAGGACAGCAAAGGTTCCTTTGAAGGGGTTACTTCAGAAAGGCACTGGGAAGCGCTCAGCCTCATCAAAAATTGTAGAATTTACTGCTGACATTTAGAAGATTTCACTTTCAATGTTAAGAGGACTTCTGGAAGAAAATTGAAGACTCTGGTAGAAATTGTTTAACTTCACACAAATCTGAGGAGAATGAAGAAAATTCTTGCATCTCTTATTTTTGTCTCGAGTAATACAAATCAGACCTATCCGTCACATACCTTATTCCCCATATTCTTTCAGTGTATAGTCTTACTTGTCTTCCAAATGAACAAAAGCATTCTTTTCTGCAAAAAAAAAAAAAAAGTGGTACTTATGAGCAAGGTCATAAATCCGGGGGCTGTTTGCATCCTGGCAAACCTTGGCGGTTGGCCCCTTGGGGTGAACGGCTCTGCCAGGCAGAG